CCAAGGTTCCATTTAGATGCCAGGAAGCACTTCCTGGCATCTAAATGGAACCTTGGCTCCCTGAGCTTTGCTCCGTTGGAGCGTTTCCTGCCTTCCTCTGCAGGGGAGAACAGGGCTCTACCCACCTCCATGTGACACCCCCTCACATACCTCAATGTCGCCAACAGATCCCCTCTGAGTCTCCTCCAGGCTGAAGAGACCCGGTTCCCTCAGTCTCGCCTCATACCCCATCCCCTGCAAACCGGCCACCAGCCTTCTGGCCCTTTGCTGCAGTGACCCTAACCTGACTATATTCTTCCTGTAATGTGGAGCCCAGAACTGAACATGATACTCCAGCTGTGGGCTCACCAGAGTTGTGTAGAGTGGTATCAACACTGCCCTAGATCTGGAAGCCACGCTCCAAAGGGCGGCATTTGCCTTCTTAAGCACCACATCACGCTGAACTCATGTTCAGCCTGCTGTCAACAAGTACCCCGAGGTCCTTTTCACAAGTGCTGCTCTCCAGCCACTTAGAAATGTGGAAACAGAGCAAGTCAGAAGAGGCCTCCCGGGCCATCTAGTCCCCATCCTGTACCTGTGACACCCACTCCTGTGCCCCAAGTGCAAGACCTTGCACTTATCCACACTGAACGCCATCCTGTCGCCTCCACCCACTTCCACAGCCTGTCCAGATCCTTCTGGATCTGGATCACCTGCTCCTCAGTTGTGGTCACAGCCCCCACTTTGGTATCATCTGCAATTTAGCCAGCAGACTTGTTATCCTCTCTTCTAGGTCATTGTTAAAAAAGGTTGAACTGAATCGGGCCCAGGAGCTTGTCACCAGCTGCCAGCCTGATGATTCCGCACTTGTAGTCACCCTCTGCTTGTGGTCCCTCAAGCACGTCCTAATCCACGGGACAGTGCATCACCCTATCCCAAAGCCCAGCAATTCCCCAACCAGGGTGTCATGGGGCACTTTGTCAAAGGCCTTGTGAAATCCAGTTGAATTGCGTCCACTGCATCCCCTCTGTCTAGCCCATCTGAGACCTTATCACAGAATTCCACAAGGTCTGATGGCAGGATCTGCCATGCTTTATGAAATCCGTGCTGTGTGGCTGCCAACCTCCCATCCCGATCTGGGGTTTCTAGAGCTTTCCCTATTCCATCGTCTTTCCCAGAATGGATGCAAGGCTAACCGGCCTGCAGTTCCCCATATCCCCTCTGCTACCCTTTTTGAAGACTGGAACCACTGATGCCACCCTCCAGTCCTCTGGAACATCTCCCGTTCTCCACGAGGCCTCCAACACGTAGCTGTTTCTTTTAACAGTCCTCTCTCTCAGACTGGGCAGGGACAGGGTAGTCCTTCCAACAGAGGACTCTCCTCAGCAAGAGGGGGCATGTGGTCACCCTCCGGCACACCCTCCTTTTGAACCTTTCCAGGCCAAGGTCCAGAGAGCCCGGGCGCCGCGTCTGGCGGGTTTCTTTCAGCCCCGGTGCAGCTCGTTTCCCAGGCGAAGGCCCCCTCCTCCAGCAAATCCAAATCGCACTGCCATGGCGAGCCCCTTGCCTGACGCGAGATTATTAATGAGGCAGCTCAGAGAGTACAACAACCTGATGGCTGGGGAGCTGTTGAGTACGAACCAGGAGGGATTACAGCTTGCCGGGTTTTGTTGAACAGCGTACAAACACAATGAAACATTGTCCCCGCGCTAAATATTCCTGTCATTTCCCCCCCTCACCTCTTCTTGGATTAATGGCATTTGGCGGGCTGAAACAAAAGCAGCTCGCCTGCATCGAAAGCTTTTCCTTTTCTCCTCTTTTTTTTTTTTTGCAATGATCTGGGTGCTGCTGCGGGCGCCATTCACCCCCCCCCCCCGCTTCTTTTCCCGGGGACAAAGGAGGCACCTCCGGAGGTCGGCAGAGGAGGGAAGGGAGCGGGCCCAGCTCTTCCAAGGAAAACATCGCCCAGGAGAACGGGGAGGGGTGCAGAGGATGGCCAGCCTTCCAGGGCCCTGTCCGCCCGGCATCCTGAGCCTGACTGCTTACGCATTTACTCCAGGCGCACGGAGCCAGGCAGCGAGGAGCGCAGCGTCCTCTGAGGGCAGCCGCCGGCCCGGGCTCCCTGCACTTCGCTCCACAGAGAGCGCCTGCGCCTTGGTTGCCCGGGACTGCGCCGAGCGGCAGAGACTGCTGTGGAGCTGCACGGGAGCCCTTAAAAGGGGCCGCATGAGGACACCCCTGATTTTCTCTCCATCATGAGCAGGAGGCGGGTGTCATTTGAGGAGCATCTTAATAAGTCACACACAATGCTAAAGATGCGCCTGCAAGAACAGAGGTGGAACGTTTACTGCATGTGCGTGAAAGTTCTGATTCATCCAGCAATTAATGTTCTCAGGCTAGACTGCAAACAAGTTGCACCTCAAGCAATGAGCAGCATCCGGCAACACCAAGGCAAGCCAACTTTCACAGCAGTCCTGTAATGGTAAGCGAGAGGGGGATTCCTGCCACTCTAGACCACTCTGGTGCGCCCGCAGCTGGAGTATTGTGCTCAGTTCTGGGTCCCTTGTTACAGGAAGGATATAGCCAGGGTAGAGTCAGTGCAGCGTAGGGCCACAAGGTTGGTGGCCGGTTTGCAGGGGATGGGGTGTGAGGCAAGACTGAGGGAACTGGGTCTCTTCAGCCTGGAGAAGAGGAGACTCAGAGGGGATCTGTTGGCGACATGCAGGTATGTGAGGGGGTGTCACGCGGAGGTGGGGAGAGACCTGTTCTCCCCTGCAGAGGAAGGCAGGACGTGCTTCAACGGAGCAAAGCTCGGGGAGCCAAGGTTCCATTTGGATGCCAGGAAGCGCTTCCTGACCTCTTGGGACAGGGGTCTTCAAACTTTTTCACCAGGGGGCCAGTTGAAAGGCGCTGGTGCTGGTGCGTGCAGGCCGGCAAGGGGGTGGGGGGAACGGTGAGACGAGGCGAGGCGAGGCAAGGGGGGGGTGGGCAAACACCACGAGGCGGGGGCACGAGGCGGCGGCTTGCTCGCTTGGCGATCGTCTTCTCCGAGTGAGCAAACCGCTGCCTCCCCGCTGTGCAGGGCGAGGGGGCGGCAGCAGGGGTGTGCGTGGGCGCACACGCAGCAGGTCCAATGGGGACGGCGGGCTGGATCCAGCCTCCGGGCCATTGTCTGAGGACCCATGCCTGAGGGTATGCGATGGGCTTCCACAGGAGCTGGTTGCAGCCCCATCAGTGAGAGTCTTCAAGGATAGGCTGGACATGCACATGGGAGGCAGGTCATGAGTGGAGCCAGCTGGAGCTGGGGTCAGACTAGATGACCTGACCCGGGAGGCTCCTTCTGACTCACTCTGTTTCTGTGTTTCTATGCTAGAGCCAGTCACCCGAGCTCCGCAGCTTGTGCAGCTGGAAGCACTGGAAATTCAAGCTCATATACAAGAATTGTGGGGAATAATGGAGCAGCCCCGGCGAGTCAGTGAGGGGAGCTCCAGCAGAATGACAGAGAAGGGCAGGAACTGTGCAGAGGAATGGGGCAAGCTGGATGGCAGAAAAATGTGCCAGTCGCCCCAAGCCATGCACGGGGGAGTTCTGCCAGCGCCCCTTCACGTTCCCTGCCCTGATTTGCCTTCACCCGCCTGAGGAGACTTGTCAGTGATGAAAACCAACCTGTTTCCTGTTTGCTGAGACCGCATCCTTCACAGAAGTGCTGCACTGAAGAAGTTCCTCCATCCAGGAACTTTAGGAATTTGGAAACTTGGGGGATGAATCTGACATTTGGTGCAGGTTGTGAGTAACGAGACATACCAAAGAAACACTCGCATCTTTGTGTGCCATGTGTGTGACCTTTAATGACCTCTGGGGCCACGCCAAACAGTCCCTGCTATGAAAATGGCTGCCTGTTCAGCACTTTCGCCCCCCCAGTTACAACATGCACAACTGAGCAATCCTTTAGAACTTAAGGCAGGGTGAAGTTGTGGCTGCATTTGTCCGTGAGTGATGAGGAACTGACTGGCTTGTGTTTGTGTTTGTTGGAGTGTCCAAAGGAAGAACTGGAAGACCTCTCCATGAACATTAATTAATATGTACCCCATTGGTATGCTCAGATCACTTCCTGCTGAGGTTTAGACTCTCAGCAGTCATCCCCTCTGGTAGGCTGAGAGATCTACTAAAGTGATCCACCATAAGAGCCTAACGGATTCCCATGGATTCCAGAAGTGTATGGCTGGGGCTCTAGTTGACATCCTGGTCACTCTGTGGCACACAGGGATGACTTGGATGGGACAATTGACCCCCACCATCCTCGCCTTCTGAGCTGAACCTGGCCTCATGCAGCTGAGCCATGGAATTCACTGCCATCACTCTATATGACTCTGGTGCGCCCACAACTGGAGTGTTGTGCTCAGTTTTGGGTCCCTCTTTACAGGAAGGATATAGCCAGGGTAGAGTCAGTGCAGCGTAGGGTCACAAGGTTGGTGGCCGGTTTGCAGGGGATGCCAGATGAGGCGAGACTGAGGGAACTGGGTCTCTTCGGCCTGGAGAAGAGGAGACTCAGAGGGGATCTGTTGGCAACATGCAGGTATGTGAGGGGGTGTCACATGGAGGTGGGTAGAGACCTGTCCTCCCCTGCAGAGGAAGGCAGGACGTGCTCCAACAGAGCCAAGGCCAGGGAGCCAAGGTTCAGTTTGGATGCCAGGATGTGCTTTCTAACATTTAGGACCTCTAGGCATGGAATGGGAGGTGGTTGAGGCCCCATCAGTGAGGATGTTCAAGGATAGGCTGGACATGCACATGGTGGGCATGTCGTAAGCGGAGCCGGCTGGAGCCGGGGGTCAGACTAGATGGCCCGGGAGACCCCTTCTGACTCGCTCTGCATCTATGTTTCTATTCATTCATTCATTCATTCATTCATTCATTCATTGCATTTCGATGCCACCCCATAGCCCAGGGGCTTTCTAGGTGCCTCACAAAAAACAGTAACAACAATAGAACAGGATTATAATAAAATAAAACAATGCCATCTAAAACCACATAAAATATAAAGTGCAAAAACAGGAGGCCATTATAAACCAACAATAAAATCAGCAGCAAAAAGCAAATGAAACCCTGATGCTAGAAACAGGTACTAAATTAAAAGGTCTTCACTTGGCGGCAAAAACAGAATAACGAGGGTGCCAGGGCAGCGCTTTGGGAAGAGAGCTCCACAGATGAGATGGGACAGCTGAGGAGGCCTCCCCCTTGCCAGTGCCTCCCTCACTCCGTTTGGCGAGGGGGTGTCACAGAGGGAGGCCTCCCTCGCAGATCCTCCACGTAGAGCCCAAGCCAGGAAGAAAGTTGCCAGTGCACGGATAGCTGTGGCTCAGCTCTGCTTGTCCCATGAGGAATGGAGCTGGGCGATCCTTCCAAGCCGATCGAAGTGCTCCAGACCACCAAGGCCGCCTGCGGAACAAGCCACAGCCCAGGGTCCAGGAGCCCCCCAGGCAACGACCCTAATCCTTTAGTGGGAGTGCAACCCCGTCCGGGATTGGTTGAAAATTTCCCAGTTGGACAAATGGACTGCCCAGCAACAGGACCTCCGTCTTGTCTGAACTGAGTTTCAGCTTATCGGCCCTCATTGAGTCTATTACTGAGCCAAGGCACCAGGTCAGAACAGTCACAGCCTCGCCAGGGTTGGATGAAGCGGAGAGGCAGAGCTGGGTGGCATCAGCATATTGGTAACGCTTCAGCTCAAACACAAACGTCAAGTACTGCAAGTATTCAACGTACCTTTCCTTTCATACTCCACTTCTTACTGGCCCTCTTACGTTCTTTAATCGCCACACATTCCTTTTTCAAATTCTCAATAATCCTGCCATGGACATTAAAGAACCAATAACCAAAAAAAGCAATTGTAGTACCTTCATATTTTTCTTATCTACCTCCTTCAATCCTTAGCTACTTACACAGACCTTTATTAATTTACAGCATTCCATCTACCATCAACATTCCCATTACCATCTATTAGTTACCTCCAGTAAATCCTGCCTCACCGAAACAGTGAACAGGAACACCAAAAGGAAGTGAATAAAGGACCCGGAGGATGGGGGCGGGAAAGGGGGAAGCAGAACGGAACCGAACAGACAAACCAGTTTTAAAAGCCTCCTGTTTCCTGAACAGCACCAAGTGGCCACTGAATGGGTACTAGGTGGGCGATGCCCTTCGGCAGCTGCCCAAGAGCTGCACCCCAAAGGTGGCTGGCTAAAGGCCACAGGGAGGGTCTTCGTGGCTGTGGCCCTGCCTCCCT